GCACACACATCCCCACACCTCACACACACATGCACACAGCCCCCCACACCCACACACACATACACCCACACCCCACTCACACTTGCGCACACACACCCACACCACACACATGCACACATCCCCACCCCCCACACACACATGCACACACCCCACACACATGCACACACACCCACACCACACACATGCACACACACCCCACACACATGCACACATAAATAAATAAATAAATATTAAAAGTTTTAAAAGGGTGGTAATTTTTATAGCCACAGCTTCTTCATTTTTGGACAAGAAGACCCTCTCGGACAGTTCCATGTCACCTTCAGTTTAACTTTTTACTCTCATCCAACTTCTGCGGCCTGAAGTTACCTAGTTCACTTTGACAGATAAATGTGCGTAGCAGAAACCATTAAACTGTAGAAAAGACAGACGACCCATCTGTGCTAGGAGTGGAAACTTCAGTCACATTGACAATTGTTTGGAAGCTCACCAGCACTGTGAATTGTGGATTAATTGGGTGGTTTCCTGTCTCATGTTTGCTTTTCTGCTGATAGAGGTGACAGTGGCTGCGCCCTTCTGACGTGCACGAAACTGCAAACGGCTTAGAGTTAGGAGAGCCTGACTCGTGATCCCATCCGCCCTCGGCTCCCAAAGTGCTGGAATTACAGTTAGGTGCTTGAGGCACCGGCGCCCGGCCTTTTTTTGTGGTTTTTTTTTAACTAATACTGGAGGCGCACTTCATTCCAATAAATAATAAATAAATAAATAAATATTTAAAAGTTTTAAAAAGGGTGGTAATTTTTATAGCCACAGCCTTCTTCATTTTTGGACACAGAAGACCCCTCTCCGGACAGTTCCATGTCACCTTCCAGTTTAACATTTTTACTCTCATCCAAACTTCTGGCGGCCTGAAGTTACCTAGTTCACTTTGACAGATAAATGTGGCGTAGCAGAAACCATTAAACTGTAGAAAAAGACAGACGACCCATCTGTGCTAGGAGTGGAAACTTCAGTCACATTGAGCAATTTGTTTGGAAGCTCACCAGCCATTGTGAATTTGTGGATTAATTGGGGTGGTTTCCTGTCTCATGTTTGCTTTTCTGCTGATAGAGGTGACAGTGGCTGCGCCCTTCTGACGTGCACGGAACTGGGCAAACGGCTTAGAGTTAGGAGAGCCTTCACATGGTGGCCGCCCACACCGTGGCACCCTTGGCGTCTCCACAGGAACTTCTGGTGGTGTCGCGAATAGGGTCCCCGCCGTTGTCCCCCAGGGGCGCGACTGCCTCCCTCCCGGGACTTTCTCCTGGCCGGTGGGCTGTGCCTTCCTCCCGCCTCTCGGGCATATCTTGTGGGCACAGCCCGTGCGGCCTGGCCTGGCCTCTGCGTCCCACGCTGCGGGTCCGCAAGCGAGGCGGGATCGGCCGCGAGTGCCCAGCCCGGGACAGCCCGGTGCAGGGCGGCCACCCAGAGGGCAGGCCTGGCGCGGAGGCAGGCGGGGTGGGCTGAGCGCGCGGGACCCTGCGCCGAGGCTTATCCAGGACCTCAGAAGGCGGCTTTCCGGCGCTGCTGCCGCTGAAGGCGTTTTTGTGCTGGGCCCTGGCTGCCCCGGCGGCTTGCCCGCGGGCTGTTGGAGGAGGAGGGCGAGGGGCGGGCCGCGGGCGCACGTGCTGTTTCCGGTCTCAGCCCAGAACGCGGCTCCCGCTCAGGTTTAAACCAGGAATACCGCGAAGCAGGCGGAGAGAGCTTCGGGCTCCGTGCACTGTGCGCTGTCTTGATTGCCAAAGAAGAAGCAGGAAAACACCCAAACCGCGTTCGCCTCGACAAGAGAAGGGAGAAACCTGGGGTCTGCCTTCCTTTAGAAAAAGCCAGGGTTCTGGCCGGGCGGGTGTCTCAAGCCTGTAATCCAGCACTTTGGGAGCCGAGACGGGCGGATCACGAGGTCAGGAGATCGAGACCATCCTGGCTGACACGGTGAAACCGCCGTCCTCTACTAAAAAATACACAAAAACTAGCCGGGGCGAGGTGGCGGCGCCTGTAGTCCCAGCTACTCGGGAGGCTGAGGCAGGAGAATGGCGGGAACCCGGGAGGCGGAGCTTGCATGAGCTGAGATCCGGTCACTGCGCGCCCCCAGCCTTGGGCGACAGAGCAAGACTCCGTCTCAAAAAAAAAAAAAAAAAAAAAAAAAGAA